GCCTAAACCGAGGGCACAATTTGATTTCATGTCACCCTTAGTTTTATGCAAATCCAACCCTCTCCTAGTTCTTTCCCATTGCTTTGATGAGCGCCGACCACCCAAAAATTACACAGCTCTTCTCACCTTGTGCTTGAGTTACAATAAGAATTAGATTTCTCAAATAAAAAGTTATTTATTCAGATGACACATTGCTTTACTCGATAATAACCTTATTTTACAGATGAATCCACCTCAAACCCCACCTTCAACACCTCGAATCAAACAATTATCCAGAGATCATAACATTTTAGTAAGTAGAAAAATTAGATATGAACAAATATAAATTAAAAGAAAAATTAAGATTTATGGGCTTCATGAATCTGGCAAAAACCGAACGCAGATTGCCGCGCAGCCAGGCATCTCTCGGGGACAATTTAGAAATTCGCTGCGCCGCGGAACTGTATCCCCCAAAAAGAGAAAAAGAACATCCTCAAGGTTGAAAGCAGATGATGTTGATCAGATCATATCTTACGTTGAGTCTTCACCTGGAAATCGCCGCAAAACATTTCTGGAACTCGCCTCTGGCCCCTTTAGACATCTTGGTGTCAGCGAGCGGGTAATACGAAGAGAACTTCAAAAAAAAAGGATATCAGCGACATGTGGCTCGTCTAAAGCCTGCAGTATCTCAGAAAACTATGAAGATACGCAGAGAATGGGCCGAAGCTCATCTCAATTGGACATATGAAGACTGGACGTCAGTTTTATGGACAGACGAAACTTGGGTAGAGGATGGAAGACATTCTAGAGAATGGGTGACAAGAAGTGTTTGTGCATTCCTCCATAAGAAGATGGTAATCTGATGCTCTAACATTATGAGCCAGACTTCCCAAGAATACAACGCTAATTGTTTTGGAGAAAAATCGAAGAATAGGGTCGGATGGATGTTCTGGGGTTGATTCGCAGGGCCAGAAAAAGGCCCTTGTATGTTTTGGGAGAAGGAATGGGGTTCCATTAACTCCCTAAAATATTGCGAGAAGATAGTTCCTCTTATCAATGGCATGGTCTCGATGAGACCTTGGCTTTCCGTAATGCAGGATAATGCCCCTCTCCACACAGCCGCAATTACAATGGAAGATGTGAGCCTCTGGCTCATTCAACCGATTTTCTGGCCGGCCAACTCGCCTGATCTTAACCCGATTGAAGCTGTTTGGGATAAGATGAAGGATTACATCCAGCGTCATCATCCGAATCTGGGTTGCGGAAAGCAGCGAACTCAAGACAGTCTTCGCAAGATTGTAAAGGAGGCATGGGATTCCGTGTCTTCCAAAGATCTTGTGAGACTCATTCAGAGAATGCCAGCAAGATGTCAGGCTGTGGTAGATGTGGATGGGGGACCGATCAGATATTAAGGCCTGAAAATATCCCAGCCAGATGTTCAGATCTAAGGTTAGGATAAGACTGGCTCTATTTTTTAAGTTGAAAACCTGTGAACTCTTGTAAATAAGTTATAAAGTCAAGTAGCAAAAATGCACAAATGTTATGCAGCCGATCATTATACAAATTAGGTTTAGTACGAAGGAAAGACCCACTGCAAACTGTGGTGTCCAGATAAAAACTGCCGTAGAAAACTTTTCAAAAATTTGCACAAATACGGGGGCTAGCTCCAATATGGAAGGTGACTATGCCTAAGGCGTCTTAAAGTCTACGTTAAAACCCCTGCCAATGTCCGACTGCAAACTTGACACCGCGACACCACGGTAGTTTACACAGATTTATAGCTTAGTGCGCATTATGCATAAAGACTGGGGTACACGCGACAAATTATAATACGGTGTTTATGATCAGGGATCCTCACCTATAGCCGACAGGAAACTGAGGCACCCTTGTCGATGAGTTGTGATGTGTTTGTTGTGTTAGTCTATGATTATGAAAGGACATGTAGGTCCTTCTGCCTACCGGCCCGAAGTAGCTATGCCTCGGGTAGTGTACTCCCTCCTTTGCCTCCTTCACGACTTCTTTCCAGCAGTAATACCCCCACCGGTCTTCATTCGAGTACACACTAAAAGGAGCCGTCATCCTGTCATTATATCCCTCTCCAGCCAACCAAACGATGGCCATTTGCGGGTGTGTAGCCGCAGGGAAAGTCTCAAAAACTACTGGGTGCGGGGCTCTCCTATGACGAAGAGGCCGGCCAGCCGGGCGCAGCAGACCTGTGTATACCCAAGAGCATCTCTCAACCTTCGTAACCTCCTCCTTACTCCTCTGATTTATGCCGCAGGACAAATCGAAGGTCGTCAAAGGATGTCAGAAAAGTCTTGGTCGAGAGTGACTGCCGTGAAGGAGCCTAGGCTAGCATCCAAAATTCGTTGCGGACGTGGGGTCGTCGGGTAACTTTTGTATTCCAGATGCCCTCCTGGCTAGTTGATTCGGAAGTATAGATTAGAAGGGACGATTTTATTGATGAGTCGAAATCTACTTTGCTTTCGTGGGCTCCTTGTTTGCCCGCCGGTGGGTAGTACATGTTGTGATATTAACGAGAGCTTATCTGACTACCGTTATATATATAATTCCTTTTTTTTATTTTTTTATTTTTTACCTGATTTGGCGGCTTAAGGCCCATGCAGGTTTATATCGGAGGATATGTACTTTAAGTAGGATGACTCAATTTGACGTTTAGAACACTCACACTCAAATTTCATTTGCAGATACTGCTCGAGGTTAACCCTTATGGCTTACAACCTCTTCCGTGCACACCCACCACAGGGAAAAGCGTGAAAATCTTTGACTATCCGAGTGTGCTTTCATCATCCCACAAGCACAACATCACCGCGAGAGAAAGTGGTGTGTGGGTCTGACTGGATTCGAACCAGCTTTCTCCTGTCTCGAATGGGGTATGTGTTCAAGCTACCCAGTATCTAATTGGGAGAACGGCCCGGATGGTGTACCACTGCACCATCCAACCCCATGACTACCGTCATACCGTTTGGTACAGCATTCCCAGTATCATTATCGTCGTCTTGGTCGTCTTATGAATTACCGGAAGCGAATCTTTGACGGAGGGGGAGATAACTCAGCTCAAAGTTGAAAAGATGTCACTCAATCTCGGCTCTGCAGACTCTACAGTGAGAGCTGGAGGTTCGTATGGGACACCACTGATAGGTATCGAGAATAGTCACCCTTGTCGACGAGTTATGGCGAAGGCCGTCACACTCTCGTCTTCATTGGGACAATAGACATAAACACAAAAATATTATGCAGACTACTTGACGTCAACAAACCGCAAGCCACTCGACAAAGTGTAGCGAATCTAATGAAAATCAGTATCAAACCTATCTGATATTCGTGTTTTGATTTTTAATTGTACTTCACGAGTCAATGATTATCTGTTACATGGGGCCCTCATCTGACTCAGGCCACAGCTTACACTCTGATCTTATCCTCTTTTCTGATGGAAACCGTTTTTGGTAGAATACCCTGAATGGATAGCCATTCAGCTTGGCATGTACACGTAGTGTTTAGCCTTCTTTTTCATGGCACCTTTTACTCAAAAAAAATGGTGATAATAGAAACTTCGTACACAAGTGTGATTCCCAAAGATGCTGTAGCCCCAACCAGACGATTTGCATATATCCATGTATATTCCCCTGCTTTATAACAGTTGGGGTCAACTCGTTTCAATCCATCATCTTCGTATAAGTGCTGGGAAAGCTCTAAGAACCTATCGGATGGCTTCTCCGCCATGACCTAGGATGGGTGATCAGGAAGGCTTCGACCCTCAAATCAGTTCTGATCGTGTGTAAACGGCTAAGGCAAACGGTCACTACGCGCAAGCAATATCATAAACTAATTAATATTTTTCTGTAGAAAAGAAAATTATAACTGAATTGTGCCCACACAAAGTGTAGCCTGACAGTTACCTTACGTGAGCACTATCAATGGACCTTGCTCAGTGCAAGAGGCTGAGCCTTTTGCCACACACTGTTTGGATGCAAGGCTGGGCACGCAGGTCAGCCCAGACAACCAATGACGGGTAAAATCGAAACATCGTGACAAGCTTCATGATGATGAGGCGGGTTGCGAGTGCGATTCGGAATCCTCATAGAAACTAGGAGAAAGGTTTTACTAAATCTCGGCCCTGCATACTCTTGAATGGGGGCTGGAGGTTTGTAAGTGATACCGCCGACAGGTGTTAGGTTTCCGTAACCCTGATCAGAAGTTTTGAATCACTGTCCCTTTGACTAAATCCTTCAGTAAGGCAGTGTTTGGATGAAATCAACACCAGGAGAAGATTTCACCGCCGTGTTCATAATAAATATCGATGTTTGGGAAAGTGTCTTTATAATCCTGGCAATTATCCCCAAGTTCTATGTTTGCATTGACCTTTGGGCTGTGAGCCAGCCGGTTTCGCGGTGAATGCTCTTAGTCCGAGCTTCGATGTGGCATGGCTCGTGTCCGGAAAGGGCTTAAGTTCAGCTAGGAAGGGAGAGGAAACCACCTGCATACGTAAATATTGATTCGGCGCGAGGGTTAATCACTCGCAACGCATTTTAAGGATGGCAACAGTTTCGTGTCCCACGCTAATTTCGGTGTTAGAACATCCTAGACCCCGATCATCTTAGGGAGCAGTCATCTGCATCTATGCGCTTACAAGCTCCTAGAATTAGCCGGCTGAATGTCACTTCAAAATATAGGTTAACGGTCTCAGTGAGTGAATGATGAAGTAGATTGTGTATGAGTTTCACCGCTGGATGGAAGCCAAGAGGGTGGCATAGGTGGCAATAATCTACTCTGGGAATTGATACTCTCAGCCCGTAGCCAGTCCTGACATAGGTTTTTTGAATTATGTTAGGCTTGAAAGATTGCATTACAACTCGTTATATCGTAACAACAAAATCCACATCGTAGATTATCTATTATTCGGGTGATGTGGCAAGTTGCATCACAACGCGTGGGCGCTAGACGCGTCCATGACGCTACCTGAAAACTTGAGCATCGTGGGAGCGTAATTACAGAGTAAAATGGCGTTACTGGTTGACAAACATCATCCGAGGTCTCTTGATCAGCTAACTTTCCACAAAGATCTCTCCGACCGATTACGAGCATTGGTAAGCATCCTAATCTCTCTTTACGTCTCACAACTTAAATTTAACAGGCTCAAAGTGGAGACTTTCCTCACCTTCTGGTCTTCGGACCATCTGGCGCCGGTAAAAAAACACGAATAATCGCCACACTAAAAGAACTTTATGGACCGGGTGTAGAAAAGATAAAGATTGATTCCCGCACCTTTCAAACTACATCAAATCGAAAGCTTGAATTCAACATCGTTGCCTCAGTCTACCATCTCGAGATAACGCCCTCAGATGTAGGGAATTATGATCGAGTTGTAGTTCAGGACTTACTCAAAGAGGTTGCCCAAACTCAGCAGGTTGATCAAAATGCCAAACAAAAGTTCAAAGTAGTTGTTATAAATGAAGCCGATCAACTAACAAGAGACGCACAAGCTGCTTTACGGCGTACAATGGAGAAATACAGTCCAAATTTACGGCTAATACTGCTAGCAAATAGCACATCCAATATAATAGCCCCTATCCGTAGTCGAACCCTTCTTATCCGGGTAGCCGCTCCCACGGAACAAGAGATCTGCGATGTATTGGAGAGAAGTGGAGGAAAAGAAGGCTGGCCACACCTTCCAGAGCTAAACAAGAGAGTTGCAAAAGAAAGCGGCAGGAATCTGCGAAGAGCGTTGTTAATGTACGAAGCAATTTACGCTCAAAAGTAAGCACTTGGCATCACGCAACCCCATCAGCTTCAAGTTTCCTGACAATGAATAGTGAGAGAGTGACGGAGAACACTGCAATTCCGCCTCCTGATTGGGAAGCCCTCATTAATGAGGTCGCTAGAGAAATCGTGGAAGATCACTCGCCTGCCCGTATATTACTCGTTCGCGCAAAGCTTTACGACCTCCTCACGCATTGTATCCCCCCAAGCACTATTCTCAAGACATTGACGTTCAACCTAATACCTATGGTAGACGCTGACTTGAAAGCCGAAGTGATCAAATGGGCAGCCTTTTACGAACATCGGATTTGTATGGGAACAAAGGTTATCTTTCACCTCGAGGCATTCGTGGCGAAGTTTATGCGCATTTCGGAAGAGTTTATCATGAATACTGAATTTTGAGGGTTATATCATCAAAGCCTGCAAGAAAATATTGGAACTCGTTACATCATAATTATTGATCTTCTGCACATGTATTTATCTCCGCTACTAACTCAACCATGTATTCATTTCCCTAAGACTAAATTAAATTTGTCAAACCAAACCAAATAACCTTACTATAACAATACGCGTAACGGCCATTTTGTCTTAGTAAGACTAGATAAGCCGTTAGCATTATATTCTACTAACGTGCGGAATTACTCTGAGAGATAAAGCTTAAATTTTAACAAGAGTGTTGACCCTTGGAAGTCACATCGAATAGAGTTGCATGGCATAACCGTGGGAATAAGTTAAAAATAATTTGGATTTGAATTTACTTAACCCGATTCAGCGCCGTAAGAGCTCAAGCAGCCAGCCAAAATCCCATTTATATATCTACGTGGGGGAACCTTACGATATAAGTCCCTTGTCCCTTCAAAAATTATTCCTGTGGTTCTTCAGTTAGCCCATAGTAAGAGTAATTGGCTTATGGTTCGAGATGAACCTAGTAACAGTATACCATGGCACCTTTTCCATTTCCTTGTGTGTCAAAAAATATGTTTGTCGTCTTAAGCTCGACCCCGATGATGCTGATAATGGAGGTGATGGGGCAGGGACCAGGGTATGTTTTTGCAGGCTTCTTGGCCCTCTCTGTCAAGGGATGGAGTGGATTGCGGTACCGTATGGTCACGTGCTATCACGCATCTGATGCGTGATTCACGATGTATATATATTTATAATACTCAATAGGTGTTAGACACTGAGGGTCAAATGAAAAATGTAAAGTAAAGTGGTATTGATGAAATCTCTGCTCCTCAATTCCTCTCCAGCAGTGATGCTATATACCCATCTGAAACTATTTCGAGGAGAGATTATCTTCTCCTCGTTTCCCAATATTACATATGAAATATATTACATGTGTTGAAGATCAAAAGATCTCATGTTAGAGCTTTGACTATCCTGAACATCCTAATCATCCTGAACATCCTAGTCATCCTGATCACCATATCCCTGGTGAGATATCAAAGCTCGAGTTAGTTAATCTAACAAGATGTGTCATCCCACTATCCAATGATTCTCATTACCATATTCAGTAGGTTCCAAACCATCAGATGTTTGACAATAGGAGTCACCTTTCCTCTTTGTAGACAATCTCAATCACCAGATTAGATCTCGTCAATCTATCCTATGACCTTTATCCTGACACTCTCCTGGCTCCCCTAGCCATTTGGTTGAATGATAATGTAAGCCCTTGGTTATGTGATAGTTTTTTTATCATTTAATGTGTATTCAGCTATAGAGCTATGACGCATGACCGGTGCAATGTATACATGTTGGATAACTCTTTTGACGTTAGAGATACTCATACTCTGGATTTCATTCGCAAATACCACTATGAGGTATGCTTGCTTACACAAACAATCGACTCTCATCCGTAAGTACCCACCAAAGGGAATTTCAAACCCTTTGGTTATCCAAGCATGCTTACGTCATCCGTGCATACTAGCCCCGCAAGAAATGTGGTTGTGTTTTGCCGGATTTGAACCGGCAATCTACTGTCTCGATTGGGATATGTGTCCAAGTTGTCCAGACTCTACTTGGCAGACCGGCCAAGACGATGTACCACCGCACCATCCAACCATGGCGGTGTTTATAGTGTCGCCTGCACTCTCACAACCGAAGTCTTGGCACGCACAAAGCTCAATTTGTAAAAACTTCTTGCCAAAATTTGAAATTTCACGCCCGTCGATATTGTATCCATCATCTGCATCATCTGCATCATCTTATTAACTTGTCCTAAATCCTCTCACACCCATCCCATAGAACCGTCTCCTAGATTTGTGCGCCACGTTTTGCTTCCCCCATCGGATGTAAATATCGGCGTAGGCGTGCATTTGGTAACCAGCTCAGGCCAGAGAATAGTCGACGAGAGTTGTAGTCATGGGAATGAGGATGAGGATGTACTTGTTCGTACTTTTAGACTTGATGAGGCTTAGGTAGGATTCGATCTTTTTGGGAGTGGAAATTAGACGTGGTGGAGTAATTTGAATCATTGCCTCGTGGGTCAACTTGTTCGGTATTGCGGAATTTTACTGAACTTGGCTCTGGGAGAATATTTCACTCCCAGGTTCGTAGAGGACATCGCGTACAGGTGTTTAGTCTTGCTCTCCGAACCTTTACTCATTAACCGATCAAACTACTGGTGATATTTCCATACCTGGTCTTACCATCCACATTCCCGTTGTACAAGATAGAAGCTCCATTTGAGCTATCTCCATACTCTCTTAATAGATCTGATGAGACCAACACCCTGCTTTCTCTCATTCACAGTGTTTCTTGCCGCAATTTGCACATGAAACCCCTTCCTTGAATAGTCTCGAGTTTGTTAAGCAGCAGGGCACTCACAACACGGATTTCTAGTTCAACACAAAACTTGAGTGTATCCCTACTGGCTGTAGTTATAGCACTCCTTTGGCTGTACCAATGGTGGAGAATATTGCATTTTATACGAGGCCTTGTTGTATCATTTGCGATTGCATTGCCTACGACGAGAGGTTGAACATGATTGATCCTCCATTGCTGCTATTCCTCTTCGATCACTCCAGTTGCCTTTTGTCATGTATCCACATGGCTTTATTAAACACAAGACTGCAAATACTAGCCCCGGTCCCTGCCACGATCTCCTTGATGATGCCAGTGTTGTTCCTGCAGAATTGACGAATTGCAGATACACCTTGAATGTACTCTTTTGCCTTTGATAGCAATTCTTCTGGCAGCAATCTTTCTGCTCCATCGATTCTGCTTCGTATCGCTGTTATTTTCATTTGTGGAGCTATGACCGACGCGTAGGTCCTTGTCGGAGGCATCCAAATTACAACTCCTGGGGCAACATTGCTAATGGGATACGCGAGGCTCTTCTTGGCTACCTCCTCGAGCGCCATTATTCTCTACTTGATTGAGGACGGGATCTGAGATATCGATGTACAGGCCTTCTTGTGGTAATTACAAGCCTTCACTGCTTTGTTGGCATCCTCGATTGTTGGTAGGTGCCTCCCATTCATCTCACGCATCACAATTAGTTTGAACTTTTTCAGTACGTTCCCCAGGATTTCTAGATTCTTTCCCTTTGTAGCTGTCTGCGCTCCGCTGTCGTCGTTTTTGATGGCTATTCTCGCTTTTTGCAATGCTTCTAAACTGCTAGATTTACCCACACCCGCCACGTCGAAGTACAGGAAGCGAATTGATAAGAGGAAGATAAAGAAGTTTAAAAAATAAGATTCACGATGTCAAATTGGTTATAAAGGCTACGTGGAAAGCTTCGTAGCTGTCTGGCAAAAAATTTGATTTTTTCTGTTCATTCGAATATGTAGATGAAGTTTTTAGCTACTTGTTTGTCCCCTTGGGGCGCTAAATTCGGGAAGAGAAATCTAATCAAAATATTATAAATATTTAGTTACATGATACAGCATCTTCCCTCTGAAGGATGCCTATAATATATTCCAAACTTTTCAATGCCATCTGCAGTTTCTGCGGCAATTCTTTTCAAGCGGACTTCTTTGGGAAAGTGTTTCCTCAAAAAAATGTCAAGCTTGTGATCAATATCGTCTAATTTTTAGTTAGCAGATTCTTCAGATCAGTGAATTTTCATATTTTAATTCACAGGAATTGATAGGCAGATTTCAGTGATGGTTACGTACCTTGACTAGCCTCCATAACTACGTTTTGTCTACACAGTGGACATGGCCATTTTCGCTCTCTTTGCAATAATATTGTGCATTGGATGCAAAAAATATGATGACACTTCAATTTAACTGGTCGCCATACAACAGAAAGGCAGATGGGGCAAATAAAATCGTCTATCTGAGGAACAATTCTGATCAGATCCTGGTTGACTTTTGAGCAAATCGCCTTCGCAATTGACTCAGATATAGAAGTATCTGGGTGAATAAGTCTTGGAACTGGCTTCGCGATGTCAAGACGTGTTCTTTTGATAAATTCTACCCAGTCATCAGTTAATTTCTGGTTCGACAGAATACGTTTAAATGAAATACTTTTCGTCACCAACAATTTATCAAAGGATTGCCCTTCAGTGAGGATAGATAATTTCCAAAAAAACCGGGCAACTTTCAGGGTGATATGATTATATTGCCTGTCAAATTCAGGAAGCCTTTCTCTTCATGCTTCCAGATTGATAAATTCTTGGAATATTTGTGATAAAATTGACTTACTTTTAACAATTTTATAAATAGCTTTCTGATTAATTTCTTGAAATTTAAGAGTTTGAAGAAGAGAAAGATTTAGGGCCAGAAAATGATTTAGTGTTTGACGACTCGCCCGCAACTTGAACAAATTCTCTAAACCTCTTCGCATTAATTCAATCTGAAACCACTCAAGTTGTCTTTGTGCTGTTGCACTATCTCGGGTTCCCCGGTCGTGTTCATGATTAGAAAAGAATATTCCTGCCTGTATATAAAGATCGAATACCGCTCTCCATGTATACATGTCAGTTTTGTGAAACTTAGAGGGCCTTTCTCACTAGGATTAGCCATACTACTTGATATTTGGATAATGTCTAGTTACTTGGTCAAGCTTGAGATTGCAGCAGATAGTGTCTCTACTTGATAACTTAGTGATTTTTGCTGTTGGTCCTGAAGTAGGTCCAATAGTACAACATCATTCCGAAGGACATCAATAAATTGAACCTCAAACTTCAAGGGAAGTTTAAATTGTTGAAACTTTTCTTCTTGTTTCTGAATAATCGATGAAAACCTTTCTGAGGTTAAAAATGAACGACTATAATGGATTGAGGGTCAGAGTGACACCGGGAGAAAGATGGATCTTATTCAAAGCAGCTGAATTCTGAAATATCTTTCCGTGAAATAATCACTAATTATTTAATAATCATAGCTCAGGTGCTATGCTTTTAGCAAGATTTATCAGGCTTAAGACTAGCTTACCATTCACGAAAAAATTTACAGTTTTAAAGAGATGTACCTACTCTGTCTTTCTCAGGTACTTTTTTGGGTTGCTAAAATCCTGAGCTAGGTTTCCAAGAAAGCGTGTAATCGTTGAAGATAGAGCTGCGTCAGGGTTGATATCCTCTCGAAGATTGATAGAGAAAGTAATCCTTGGGGTAAGTGCTACATAATCTGCCTCACATCACTATTAGCCATTAGGCGGATATTGTTTCCTTACTTTTGAACTTGTCTGGCAATACAATCGAAGTAGATTCTGTTGTAGTAGAAAACTCCTGTTTGCACTGAAGCGATAGCTGAGCAAGAGTAGCTGGGTCCAGTCCCAGACGCTGGAATTCCTTCTGAATCTATCCTCGATGAACGAGTAAGCAAGCAGCGCCAGGGCGGAAACCTTGAGTATCTATGAGGATCAAAATAAAATCTCCTACATTTTTTAGGAATTTTTTGAGCTGGCTATATGGAACAGCAGACGCTATCCAAAAAGCAGGGAATCCCTCCCTCTCCAATGCTAGCTGAAATTCATGCGCAAATTTCATGATAGTCTCGCAGAATAATTGGTAGGCACTTGTGACCTAAACTATAAAACAGAATGCTTATCAATTCGATTCAGACGTAGGCAGCAAATTTCAAAAAAGAGGAGCTTATTATCATAGCTTACGTGCCAAAAGTTAGAGCCTACAGTGTAGTCAGATTATATAGAATGTCATTGGATTGGGCCCCAAAGAATTGAATTAACGGGTCAGTAACAGAGTGATTAGCAAATCGTAGAGACAGAGGACTGTATTTATCCGTGTTGAGAGCAATAATGGGGTGGGTCTGAGAAGAGGTGAGATTAATGTTGGAAGTGAGCGGCTAGTATGGCTAATATACTTGAATCGGCCCGCAATATACGATCCATCCTTGGCATCTGAGAGTCACGGAAGAGTATACGGTTGCACTAATGGTTAAAAACGAATTATTCGATAAGTTTGAAGCCAAATAACGGCATTTTGGACATCGCAACGCAATCCATCGCACAGGACTGGTCACAACTCTTAATTCGATCGCAATTCCATTTTCAATCGCCTCCACAGCGATCTAACACCCTTACCTCACTTCAACACCTTATCAATCTTTATCTTCCCACCACCCTCGAGAGATTCAAACCCGTGGATCCATCGTACCGCTGGCGACCATGCCATCGGTACGAGTTACGAAACGCCATCACTCGCTGGTGGATTACGCCAAGCTCCGACTACGGTCGCGCCTATTGGAGTACGGCATCACCATCGATGAGATGGACATTGATAATGCCGAAGCTGCCATCACCATCAAAGTGATGGATGCCCCGGAGATCGAGATAATTGACAGGGCCGTCGACGAATTCATCACTAAAGGCCTATCCGACTCCATATGGGCTGCCCCAACTAATTCAGGCAGCTCTGAGCCAAGTCAGCAGACGGAGAAATTGATCCCGTCGCAAACTACTCTTAGGCTGTCAGCAACCTCATCGAGAAAGGTCGCAGCCTTGCCCGCAAGGCTGCCAGAAACTGACAAAATCACCATGGCTCCATCCAATGCCGCCCGTGATGAATCCCTGGAAAGAGGGAGTGATACGGAGCAGGAATCGAACATTTCTGTTATCCCAGAAGAGATAGCCGTCCTCGTCGAGAATGAAAAAAGACGGGCAGCAGAAGCAGCTGCCAATATCTCAATTTGCTCCTCGACCATCAACGTCTTAGAAAAACACCTTTCTCCCATGCTAACGGGAGAACATAAAAGCTTTATTGACTCCTTTCGAGTCTATCTTCGGGCACCCATCGCCCAATTCATCCAGGTAGGGCCCGGGGCCGCCTCACCAGTACTGCCTAAAGTGCCAGCATTTCCCCAGGCAAAGCCCATCAAGAGTACGCCTGTGGAAACTCACCAATCCAGCACTGCGGCTCCCAGTGGTTCTAAAGCTAATTCTTGGGCCGCTATTGTCGGAAAAGAAACTCGGAGAGAAGGAGCCCGGGATAAGGAAACTCGGTCAAAGCTGCCTAGTCCTCCAACTGCAAAAATTTTATCTCGGCCTGGTCATGGATTGAAGGAGCCAGAAGGAAAGAAGAAGGATGGTCTATACCTTCGGATCCCCAAGAATCACGATTGGAGGTCACTTTCGACTGCTGGAATTCGGGCAGCAGTCATTAGTAAGTTTGGCTGTTCCCCAACAAACATTGACAAGATTTTGCCAACAGCAGCTGGCTTCGTTCTTATTGCCGAAGATGAGGATGCAAGAAAGCTGCTCTTGAGCTGTGCGGGCCGCCTTCCGCAAGATATTATCCTCGAGCCAGCAGGAAACTGGGCTAGCCTCATGCTACCCAATATACCCGTCCACATTATCTCGCTGGATGGGCAAGTGACTATTTCGGAAAGCCACATTGTTTCTGAAATAGAACGCGTCACTGTGGTGACACCAAAATCCGTGCGGCGGCACGGTAAGAGCAAGTAAGGAGCCAGATACCGTAATTGGGTAGCCTTTTTCGAGAGCGGATCTACCCCTCGAACGGGATTCCGACTTTTTGACGACTCGGGACGGGCAGCCACAGTCCCGAAGCGTCAAACGCAAGTAATTTGCAAACGTTGCTTTGGGTAACACAGTACCGGCGGCTGCTCTCGGACTCCAGCCTGCCGAAACTGTGGCTCACTGACGCATTCAGAAAGAGAATGTCTTGCTGCAGCTAGATGTTGCAACTGCGGAGGTCCTCATTGCGCAGGTAGCCGGAACTGTCTCGCCCGACCCACTCGTGCTGGAGCGCTGACTAAGGAGCAGTTCGTCACAATCCGAAACGCGGACAACCGTGAGTTTAAGGCGGTCAAGAGGGCAAAAGCGGCAGCTCACAAAACGCGAGCAGCCAGCCTCGCCAACACTAGATCAGGGAGTGCGAGTAGCCCAGTCTCGTCCGCCTTACCACCCGCATTAGTCACGCCGACTGATGCCACCCCCGTTCATGATAGGCGCCTCACGGCGTCGTTCATCCCTGCCAAAGCTCAAGTTTATGTCTATAAATGTTGGTAGGGGGGTCCAACGCACGACATTGCGCTTTCTCGAGCTTTCAAGAGAGGCATTGATGTTGTGCTTGTACAGGAGCCTTGGTGGTCCAGCGAGACAAAATCTCACCCTGGATACACTCTGCACACCCCGCACGGCAGGATAGGTGTTCCGCCACGAGCCGTAACGTGCACTCGAACGAAGGAGAAGGAAATATTTGCCAAACAGATTTTCCCATGTTCTTCGCTGACCGGAGACTACTGTTGGGTAGTTGTCAACAATGTCACATTTCTCAATGTGTACAAGGCGCACAATAACGACGCAGTAATCAAACCAGTAATCAACTGGGTACCTCCGCCAGCATCAATAATTGCAGGCGACTTCAAATCCGTTTACTGGGCATGGCAACCGGGTACAACGCGCTCGTATGGTCACGACAAGAAAATACAGGCCTGGGCTGAGCAATACCGCCTCACTTGTCTTATCATTGGGGAGCCTACGCATCGAGTCGGAAATACGCTTGATCTAGTATGGACAAATGTCGCGGGGGCACAGGCGTGAGTAGAGCGGAGTGAGTGCGTGACAAGCGACCATTTTCCTGTCTTCGACTTGGTAACTAGTAAAAGTCATGCAGAGGCAGAATGTCAAGGCTCACTGCGAGTCTCGAAATAAAGGTATCCGGACTTCGTACGAGCAGTATCTTAGTGGATCTCAGCTCCGCAATCCTTGGTGTCTACTAGCGATGTTGAGAGATGCGTAGAAGCGATTTATCAGGCCTTAACAGACGGATTGAAAGCGTTCGGAAAGAGACGAAGTCAAGGAAGCGGTAGATTTGCGCCCTGGCGGACTCCAAAGTGCAAAGAGGCTCATCTTAACTATCGCTCGGCATATACCGAGGAAGAAAGGACTACTTACGCCAAAATCCTGAGCTCTACAGTAGCATCAGCCAAGAGAGAGCACTGGAAGAAGCGGATAGAAACGATGCGGTCGTGCTCGGACGTCTACAAGATGATGAGGTGGGCGGCCCCGAAACACCAAAAAATCCCGCCACCACTTCAGCATGATGAGAAGCTAGTGTCAGACCAGGCAGAGCGAGTGATGATTTTGCGCGATCTACTACTGGACCGTCACTCGGAAACAGACGATCTTCCACCTTGCACAAGGCCAGCAGAGCCTCGGAATCCATGGTTTGAGGAGATATCAGAGCTGGAAGCTCAGTCATGTACTATTGGAGGAGGTAATACCTGTCCTGGTGCAGACGGAATCTCAGTAGAATTGCTAGCCGCATGCTGGAGCAGTATTGGGAGATATATAACACAACTCTTTCAAGCATGCCTGAGACTTGGTTACTATCCGGCATGCTTCAAGCTGGCAGAAGTCATATTCCTACCGAAGAGCGGTCGTGATTTATCAACGGCCAAAGGATGGAGACCAATTGCACTTCTCTCATGTCTAGGCAAGGAGCTAGAAAGAATCTTTGCGAAAAGGATGTCAGCATTAGCCATCACTTTAGACGTTGTAGGCCACTAGCAGTTTGGCGCACTACCAAAACGATCGGCAAATGATCTGGGATCTTCAGTAGTGAACGATGTCGAGGAGGCTCGATCTCAAGGATGGGCATCCACCTTTGTAACGATGGATGTACAAGGAGCATTCGACGCTGTCCTACACAACCGGCTACTATGGCGAATGCAGGCACAAGACTGGCCAGACTCGGTACTACAATGGACATCCTCCTTTCTCAAAGGGAGGAGGGTACAGGTACGATATCCGGGAGGCGTGACCAGCCCGAGATCTTTGAGGCTAGGGGTGCCACAGGGATCGCCGATCTCTCCGTTGCTCTTCCTTTTATACATGGCCGAGCCCATGCGAAACGGGAACTGTAGAGCGCGATTTAGCTATGCGAACGACATTGGGATTCTCGGCATCGGTCGCTCGTTAGCCGAGTCTGCGATGGCAGCACAAGGTGAGGTCGACGATCTTCTGAAATTGGCTGAAGAGAACGCGGTTTCTTTCGACCTCGACAAGTCTGAGGTGATCCAATTCAAAGGCAGAAATCAGGGCGAATCGGTAGGAATACAAGTTGGCGGTAGGCTAGTCCAGCCGGCGGAGCATATTCGCTGGCTTGGAAATCACCTTGATCCGCGTCTCACCTTCAAGCACAATGTAGCGATCTGGTGCGGGAAGGCCCTCAAAGCTGCCCAGCACATGCGGCGACTTAACCCACTTCGACGAGGAGCGGCCCCAGGTCCTCTGGGTACCGTCATTGACTCATGTATCGTACCAGTAGCAACATTTGGAGCGGATGTGTGGTGGCCCGGACTAACACGGCCAACGAAGAAAGGTACCTCAACGCCATAGACTACACACCTATGTAGTCTGATCGACAAAACCATTCGACTAGCCCTACGTGCCGTGTTACCAGTCTGGAAGACCTCGCCTAATTTCCTTCTTCATAGGGAAGGGGGCATCCCACCGGCGAAGATTCTCCTCGAAGGAATTCGACTCCGTCTAGCAGCCAGGATC